TGCAGTGGTGTCATCATAGCTCACTGCAGCCTTGAACTTCTGGGCTCAAGTGATTCTCTTGCCTGAATGTCTTACAAATAGCTGGGACTATAGGCGCACATCACGACGCCTGGTTTTTTTTTTTTTTTTTTTTTGCTTTTTAGACTTGGAGTCTTGCTAAGTTGCCCAGGCTGGTCTCAAACTCCTGGACAGAAGCGATCCTCCCACCTCAGCCTCCCAAAGTGCTGGGATTACAGGCCACCATGCTCAGCTACCTTTTTTTAAAAAAATTAATATCACCTTATCTGAGCAGGACATGTGGTGGCTGTTACTGGCAGCAGAGCAGTAACAGAGGGATTGAGAACACTCACTCCAATCTCAGCTCTGCTGCTTGCAGCTGTGTTGCACCATGCATCTCGCTTCATCTTCCTGGGCCTCAGTTTTCTCCTCTGTAAAATGGGCACAGTAAGAGCACTGTCCCCCATCAGAGCAGCTGTCAAGCCTCACACTTATAAAGTGGTTTACAGAGGCTGGAAAGGAAGAATATTCAGTAAATATTGGATCTTATTAGCTATATATGATATATGGATGCTTATATATGACCATTGTAATTTAAACATTCAATTTAAATCAAATAAGAACCAGGGGTGGTGGCTCATGCCTGTAATCCCAGCACTTTGGGAGGCTGAGGTGGGAGGATCACTTGAGGCCAGGAGTTCAAGACCAGTCTGGTCAACGCAGCGAGAGCCCATTTCTACAAAACATTAAAAAATTAGCCAGGCATGTTGGCATTCAGTTGTAGTCCCAGCTACTTGAGAGGCTGAGAGAGGAGGATTGCTTGAGCCCAGGAGTTATAGGTTGCAGTGAGCTATGTGGACACCACTGCACTCCAGCCTGGGCAAGAGAGTGAGACCCTGGGCAAGAGAATGAAGAAAAAACTAGCTAAGTGTAGTGATGTATGCCTGTCATCCCAGCTACTCAGAAGGCTGAGGCTGGAGGATCGCTTCAGGCCAGGAGTTCAAGACTGCAGTGAGCTATGATCACATCACTGCACTCCAGCTTGGGTGACAGAGCAAGACCCTGTCTCTAACAAAAAAAAAAAAGAAAGAAGGAAAGAAAAAAAGAAATTTCTTACTATGCCATCTAGAGCAGGGGTTGGCAAACCGTTTTGTAAAGGGTCAGATAGTAAATATTTTCAGCTTTGTGGGCCACATGATCTGTTACAACTACTCGCAGTTACTTTGTGCTAAGCTGTAGCACAAAAGCAGCCCAGTCAGGCATACGTGAACAAGCATGCTGTGTGTCAATAAAAGTTGACTTACAAAAGCAGGCAGCTGGCTGGAAATGCCCTGTAGGCCATGACTTGCCAACTTCTGTTCTAGAGGGATCCAGCCCACTCCTAGCAATATACGCTCCCTACTCTGGGAAACAACACGTCCTTGACCCCAGGGAGGCACCATCAGAACAGATGGGAAACTGATGCCCGAGCCGTCAAGGGAGACATGAGCATCATCTGGCTGAAGATACTGAAGCTGAGACTCCAAAATCTGCATTTTCTTTTTTTATTATTTCATTATTTTTGGAGACAGGGTCTCGCCCTGTCGCCCAGGCTGGACTGCAGTGGTGTGATCATAGCTCACTGCAGTCTTGAACTCCTGGCCTCAAGGAATCCTCTTGCCTCAGCCTCCTGAGTAGCTGGAACAACAGGCATGAGCCACCACACCCAGTGGCTACCTAGCACTGTGTTTTGTCACAGTTTGTGATGCTGTCAAATCTTGGGTTTGTAACCACAGTTCCATAGTTCCTTGGAGGCCTTCACGGATGCAACTGGCTCCTTTACCTGGACAGAGTCAGCCCAGCAGCCTCCCAGGGACACTGGGAGGTGGCAGATTCCAGCAACGGTCTTCTGTCCCCAGGTGCCTCCCCAGACTCCTCGGAGCCTCCACTGCAGTGCAGCTGCCCACAACTCCGAATCGTCACTGGTTCCGGGCCCACCTGAGCCCCGGCGGAAGCCCATCAAGGCCCTGTCGCCCTATGAGGACCTGTTTAGGCAGGCACCAGGTGTCGAGCGGGACAAGGCGAGCTTCGTGCGGACTGTGCAGAACTTTGGGCAGCACAACGTGCACAAGCGGGGCCACGTGGACTTCATCTACCTGGCGCTGCGCAAGATGCGGGAGTTCGGCGTGGAGCGCGACCTGGCGGTGTATAACCTGCTGCTGGACGTCTTCCCCAAGGAGGTCTTCCGGCCTCGCAACGTCTTCCAGCGCATCTTCGTCCACTACCCACGGCAGCAGGAGTGCGGGATCACCGTTCTTGAGCAGATGGAGAACAACGGTGCGGCCAGCAGGGTGGGCCTGGGGGGTGGGCTGTCCCGACAGCTGGCAGAACCCCTCCTGGGTCTCCGGTCCCTCCTTCCTCCCTGGCTCTGATCTCCCTCTGTCTGTCTTGTTCTCCTCCCTTTCTCTCTCAATCTCTCTTTTTAAAAAAATTAGTTATTTTTATTTTTATTTTATTTTTGGAGACAGAATCTCATTTTGTTGCCCAGGCTGGTCTCAAACTCCTGGCCTCAAGCAGTCTCCTACCTTGGCCTCCCAAAGTGCTGGGTTTACAGGCATGAGCCACTGTGCCCGGCCTCTCAATCTGTCTTTCCATTTCTCATCTTTCTTGCCTCCCTCTGATACTTCCGTTCTAATTCTCTCTGATTGTTTTTTCCTTCTCTGTGATCAATTCCCTGAGTTCAGTTTTCTCCGTCTGCCCTCTTCCCTCCCCTCCTTTCCGTCCCTCCCTGAGGCTCTTCTTACATCTGCCCGGCACAGGGGTGATGCCTAACAAGGAGACGGAGTTCCTGCTGATTCAGATATTTGGACGCAAAAGCTACCCCATGCTCAAGTTCTTGCGCATGAAGCTGTGGTTACCCCGCTTCAAGAACATCAGCCCCTTCCCTGTGCCCCGGGACCTGCCCCAGGACCCTGTGGACCTGGCCAAGTTGGGCCTGCGGCGCATGGAGCCCGACCTCAGCGCCAAAGTCACCGTCTACCAGGTACCCACTCCTGTCCACGCCCTCAGCCCCCACCCCAGCCCCACCATCCCTCCTCTGGGTTCCCCTCACACACCTGGAGTGATCGTGGTAGAACAAACCCTGATTCCCTGGTTGAGTCCTGCTAAAGGTTCCCATGGCGTGTTGCTTAGTATAGCTTTACCTCTGTGTTGCCCTGTTCGGGGTGCTAGAGCAAAATACCGTAGAATGAGTAATTTATAAACAGAAATGTATCGCTTGCAGTTCTGGAGGCTGGGAAGTCCAAGATCAAGGGGACATACTTAGACCACTGCAACCTCTGGGCTCTGCTTCCATCCCTCTCCCAACATTCGCTACATTCTAGGCATCTGCCTTCCTTTCGTTTCTTTTCGTTTTTTTTTTTTGAGACAAGGTCTCGCTCTGTCACCAGCTAGAGTACAGTGCTGTTATCATAACTCACTGCAGCCTCCAACTCCTGGGCTCAAGCAATCCTCCTGCCTCAGCCTCCCAAGTAGCTGGGACTACAGCTGTGCACCACCATGCCCAGCTAATTTTTCTATTTTTTGTAGAGATGGGGTCTCGCTGTGTTGCCTAGGCTGGTCTTGAATTCCGGGCCTCGAGCAATCCTCCCTCCTCGGCCTCCCAGAGTGCCAGGATTACAGGCGCAAGCCACTGTGCCCTTTTTGTTTCTTGAGTGTTCTATGCCAGTTCCCGCCGCAGGCCTTTGTGCTAGCTGTACCCTTGCCAGGAATATTCTTCCCCAGACACTTGGTATTCTTCAGGTCTCAGTTCCACTGTTCTTTCCTCGGGATGTCCCTCCTAACCACCCCGGCTAGAGTACCACCCCTTCACTGTGCTGGGCTTGGTTCCTCAATTCACCGTGACTCAGTTTCCCCCATGTCTCCCAAGGCCCAGCAGAGTGTCTAACAAAGCGGATGCTCAGCAGTGGTTTGTTGAATGACTGAGTGGTACAGCACCCCCCACCCCAGTGTCCCGGGGGTCCCTACTTATGCCAGGCCACATGGGGGATCCAAATTGAGTCCTTCACAACTCTTGTCATCTGGTCCTAGAGGCTGGCCTCAGATAAGTTTCCTTCGGAGCCATGGTTTGGAGATAGAGAAGCCCAGGGTGCCATGGCAGCACAGAGGGAGCAGGGAGCAGGAAGGGTGTGGGGAATGCGGGATTAAAGAGCTTGGTCTTGAACCTGTTGGTTGGTGGAGACAGCCATGCAGAGAGGTTTTAAGAGGGATGGGGTTGGAGCCTTGTTTCTGGAAGGATCTGCAATTGCAAAAGCGCCCTCTGGCGGCTGTGTGGATGATGTTGGATGGGGACAGGAGGTGACTGTGGGGTCCTGGTGAGAGAGGCCAGAGACTTGGCTTGGAGAGCAAGAGCAGAGTGCAGAGGAAGGGTAGCTTTGAATTCATTTCTTCATTTTGAAAAGTAATGCATAAGAAAGCCAAACAGGGCCGGGCGCGGTGGTTCATGCCTGTAATCCCAGCACTTTGGGAGGCTGAAGTGGGAGGATCACTTGAGCTCAGTAGTTCAGGACCAGCCTGGCCAACATAGCGAGACCCTGTCTCTACCAAAAAAAAAAAAAAATTAGCCAGGCGTGGTGGTGCACACCTGTAGTCCCAGATACTCAGGAGGCTGAGGCAGGAGGATCACTTGAGCCCAGGAATTGGAAGCTGCAGTGAGCTATGATGGCGCCACTGCACTCCAGCCCAAGCAACAGATCAAGAACCTGTCTCAGAAAACAAACAAAAAAGCCGAACAGCACATAAAAGCCCAGAGTGAAGAGTCTTCCTTTCGCCTTGGCCTGTGGGCCCCCAGTCTCCTTCTCCCAGAGGGGACTGCTTACATGTCTCCTTCCAGAGAGGTTCTTTGCATTTGCAAGCAGACATATATCCTTTTTTTTTTTTTTACATATATATCCTTCATATTTAAATATTCTTCCTCCATCTCATTATACAAAATACATAGAGAAAGGTTGAAAACATGGTAAAATGGCCACCTACACCATCTGGATTTACAACGGAAACAGTCCGTAGCCATCAAGATGGAATGTCCTTCTAGACTATGGTAGCTCCATGTTGTAGAGTCCCCAGGAGCCAGGAAAAATGAAACAGTGAAGCCCAGTGTGTACAGGATGCTACCTGAAGAGTGAGAAGGGAGGAGAAATAAAAGCTGGAATGTCGGCTGGACACGGTGGCTCATGCCTGTAATCCCAGCAACTCTGGGAGGTCGAGGCAGGAGGATCACTTGAGCCAAGCAATTCCAGATTACAATGAGCTATGATTGTGCCATTGCACTCTAGCCTGGGCAACAGAGCAGGACCCCATCCCCCCAGGAAAGAACTCCATAGTGTTATATTTGAAACGAAAAATCAGTATAAATATAGTAACTGTCCAATAAAAGAGTCCAGGAGTAAAACATAGATTTTACAACTGTTTCTGCAACGTGCAATGGCAGGGCTGTACGTACATGTTCTATACCTTGCTGTTTGCAGTTCTCACTTAATATGGCTTATAATAATATGGCTTATAACGTTGATCCATCTCAATTCTTTTAACTTGAAAAGATGCACAAATACATGTTCCAATAGTTGTCCACTGCCCAATGTTTTGGTCAAGGACTATGTGCATTTTGTAAAAAATTCAACTGTATTTCGTTTTTTGAATCACGTTCAGGGTGTAAAATTTATTTATTTTATTTTTTAAAGACAAGGTCTGGCTCTGTCACCCAGGCTGGAGTGCAGTGGTGCCATCATAGCTCATTGCAGCCTTGAACTTCTGGGCTCAAGCGATCCTCCCACTCAGCATCCCGAGTAGCTGGGACTACAGGTGCGCACTACCACGCTGCCTAATTTTTTAAAAAATTTTTTGTAGAGAAGGGGTCTCACTGTGTTGCTCAGGCTGGTCTCAAACTCCTGACCTCAAGCGATCCTCTAATTGAAGTGCTGGGATTACAGGTGTGAGCCACTCGTGCCCAGCCTCTATGATGTCAAATTTTAAAAGATGCAAAAAGGTATTCCTTCCCACCCTGTCCTCCACAGAGATAAAAGCTGTCATTTGCATCTTGTGTCATTTTCCTGGGATATTCTATGCATGTGAAATTATTTTTCTTTTTTTAATTCACAAGTGCTGAGCACTTACTACGCGTCAGGCACTGTTCTAAGCGTTTTTTGAACCATCTGATGTGTTGTTATCATCCTCATTTTGCGGTTGGAGAAACTGAGGTACAGTGACTTGGCCAAGGTCATGCAGCTTGTGACAGAGCCAGGATTACGTAATTTTAAGGCAGGTGGGCTTGGCTCCAGGGTTCCCTCGCTGTGAGCATCTTCAATGTCGGTGGCTATTGCCAAATGGGATAGAAAGGAGGAAAAGAAAGGTTTGAGTGACATGTTAACAAGACACCAGTGGAGTGTCCTTAATTCACTGAGATCTCCCTTTCCATTTCTCTGTCCTGGTTCCTCTGTTTGGGCTGGGGTCACAAGCTTCCAACCCTGTTCTTCTTTGCAGATGCCTTTGTCCAAAGACTGGACAGGTGCACTGGATCCCACCCAGCCCCACATCGTAGGTAAGGCCCCAGGCAAGGGGAAGCCAGGCCTTTGATCTGACCCAGGCCCTTTGGGGCTCCCACTGGACCTGCTTGGGGGCTCCCTGGGCCTTTGGGCAGAGCCCCTGACCAGGGCACCAGGGCATGCCTTTTTCCACGCCAGGAATCCAGAGTCCTGATCAGCAGGCTGCCCTGGCCCGCCACAACCCAGCCCGGCCTGTCTTCGTCGAGGGCCCCTTCTCCCTGTGGCTCCGCAACAAGTGTGTCTATTATCACATCCTCAGAGCTGATTTGCTGCCTCCTGAGGAGAGGGTGAGGGCCCACAGCATGCGTGGGGGATGGGGGGTGGGCCGGCACCACCCTGAGGCCTCATGAGAGAGGCTGAGGAGGGTGGTACCAGGTCCTGGGCCTGACCCTGCCTGCACTCCCCTCCTTGGAGTAGGAAGTGGAGGAGACTCCGGAGGAGTGGAACCTCTACTACCCAATGCAGCTAGACCTGGAGTATGCGAGGGGCGGCTGGGATGACTATGAATTTGACATTGATGAAGGTAAAAACATGGACTGGCAGGACTCCAGACAGCACCCAGGAAGAGGGGTGGCCTCTGGGGTCAAGGGATGGGGCTCAAGAGCCCAATTACCCGCCCCCACACACCCCTGCATGCATCACGTGTCCCAGGGGCTCCAGGCCTGAAACGGCACAGGCCTGTCAGCCTTTGGTCACATATTTGTGGAGCACCTCTGTGCTGGCTACTGGGTGTAACCACGACAGACTCAGTCCCTTGGGTCAGTGGGGGAACAGGCAAGTTACATTTTGGGGAGGTGCATGCCACCCAGCCTCTAGAAGTGGGGACAGGAGGGCTTCTTGGCAGAATCTGGAAGAGCCAGGAGGCATCGCCCAGGTGAAGTGTGGAATGGGCAGCCTAGGCAGAGGGGCTGGCTTGTGCAAAGGTCCAGAGACACAAGAAAGTGAAAAGGAGCTTAAGGGACTTAAAAGGTTCAAAGGGCTGCGCCCCCTCCCTGTGCAAACTGTGAGAGCCCATCTCTCCCAACAGTGGAGGAAGGTCCTGTCTTCGCCATGTGCATGGCAGGTGCCCACGACCAAGCGACACTGGCCAAGTGGATCCAGGGCCTGCAGGAGACCAACCCAGCCCTGGCCCAGATCCCCGTCGTCTTCCGCCTGGCCGGGTCCACCGGGGAGCTCCTGACGTCCTCCCCGGGGCTGGAGGAGCCAGCCCGGCCACCACCACCTGAGGGCCAGGAGGAGGAAGACACTGTGCAGCGACAGCAGCAGGGCCAGAGTTGAGTATGAGCTGGCTGGAGGGCGCAGACTGTGGCCCGAGGAGGTCGTGGACTGGTGTGAAAGCATGACATGGCCTTTGAGTGTACAGCAAATAAAAGTTGCCCCGCTTGATGGGGCTGCCTTCCCTCTTCTCTGGCAGTGTGGCATCGCCTCCCCAGCATCTCAGGCTGCCAGCGATGGGCAGGTGACAGCCCCCAGGATTTACATGGTCTTCTGGCTCTGTCTTCCTAGGGTTGGTCACAAACCTTCGGCCCTTCCCTCTAAACAAAGTTTGAAAGTTTAACCAAAAAAAGAGCAGGGGTGGGGTTGGGGGGAGAATGAGTTTCGCGCATGCGCAGTGTTTGTTCCCGGTCTTCTTTTGGCGCCGCAGGGTAGTGAGAGACCACGAGAAATTTCCCGGCGGCGCGGAACATGCGCGCCACTTCCGGTCGGGCTCCTAACAACGGGGGAGGCTGGTAACCAGGGTGGGGGGGATGGTGGAGCGGGCGCTGGAGCCCGAGGCGGAGGCGGAGGCTGAGGCGGGCGCAGGCGGGGAGGCTGCGGCCGAGGAGGGCGCGGCGGGCCGCAAGGCGCGGGGCCGGCCGCGGCTCACGGAGTCGGACCGGGCCCGGCGGCGGCTCGAGTCCCGGAAGAAGTACGACGTGCGGCGCGTGTACCTGGGCGAGGCACACGGCCCCTGGGTGGACCTGCGGCGCCGCAGCGGTTGGAGCGACGCCAAGCTCGCCGCCTACCTCATCTCGCTGGAGCGCGGCCAGCGTAGCGGCCGCCACGGGTGAGGGGGCCCGGCCTGAGGGAGGGAGGGAGCGAGGGAGGAGACGCCCCCATCCCCCGCCATGCCTGGCCCCGCCCCCTCTGCATAGAGGCCCCGCCCCCGGCACCTGTGAACCCCGCCCAGGGGCCGGGCGCTGGCCAGTGTCTCCGACTGCCGGCCCGGGACGCGCCTGGCGCGCGGCCCCGCCTCCCCTCGCTCCGACAGCCCAATCCCAGGAAGCGCCCAGCCTCTCGGCCCGCCTCTGGGCCCTTGGCCCCGCCTGTTAGGGCTCTGGCTACCCAATCCTAGCACTGGCCACACCTCCAGGCGGTCTAACTACACAGTTCCTGGAGGGCCTGCCCCGCCCCCTCACAGGTCTCATCCCCCAACACCCCCTACCTGGCCTGGGAGTCTGACTGGACACCCTGGATCACCCAGTTCTGCCCCTCATGAAGTTCTGGTACCCCATCTGGGACTGCATATGGCCACATTCCTACCACCCTAGGCCGCACACACCTACCTGGGGGACTCCTCGCAATCTGGACTGTGCTCCCCTAAATCTCCTCGCTCCTGGGAACAACTCAGCCCAGGGAGGCTCAGGTGAAGAGGAAGCCCCGAGTTAGGTAGCGGTTATGAGGACGGCAGAGACCTGTCATTGAAAGTCTCAGTCTTGACAAGGAGCAGTGTCAAGAGTTTTTCCCTTCCTGCCTTACAGGTTGATGCGACGATTAAGTGTGAGTTAAAACATGCAGAGCTTAGGCCAGTACCTGACACGTAGTGAACAGTCAGAGTATTAGCTGTTACAATGGTGAGCAGTGCTGCAGTGAAATCCTTGTTGAGCCCAGGTTTCCACACGCACGTGTTCTCATGTTTCCCCTGGGGAAATTCTGAAGGTCAAGAATCAACCAGATCCTGCTGAATTGTACCCCCCCTCCCCAGGGTAGCAGGCTGGTTTATATGCCCCAAGGGCAGGACTGCAAATGCTGAGGGCACCAACAAAGATGCGTGCCTTGTGGAGCTGACATTCTAGTGGGCAGAGGGGGGTGGCTTGTTCAAAGGCTTGTCTCCTGCAAACAAGAAACATAATAAGCAATTTATATAGTACATGTGACAGCAGTGGGACTATGGAAAAAACAAAAGCGGAATAGGGAAAGAGGAATCCAGAGTGTGATTTGGACATTTAAATAGGGTGTCAAGGAGGGTCACATTGAGAAGACAGCATTGGAGAAAAGACCCAAAGGATTCTGGGGAAATGGTTGAAATAGACAGAATAGCAAGTGCAGAGGCTCCGAGGTAGGCCCCTGCCTGGTGTGCGCCGGGGACAGCGAAGAGGCCAACCAGGGTGGCTGGAGTGCAGTGAGTGAGCAGAGACAGGACAGGACGAGGACAGAGAGGTCGTGCAGTGCGGGCCATGGAGAGGACTCAGTTTTTCCTCCCAGCGAGGTGGGAGCTCTTGCGGGGCATTTTTGCTTTGCATAAGTGCAGAATTTTGAATAGAAGTGACATGATCTGGCTTGTATTTTAAAAGAAACACTTCCAGGGTGTGTGTGGCAGGAAGGAGTAGGATTTGAGTTGAAACAAATTGACACGAATTGACAGTTGTTAAAGCTGGCGATGGGTCCAAAGAGGTTCAGTACTCTTCTCTCCGGTTTTGTATGTGCTTGCATTTTTCTTTTTACACTACAAAACTTTAAAAGAATCATATTAACTCTTACATAGAGACTGGGGGGGAGGGGGGAGGGCAGGAGCCAGGAGGCCAGGCAGGAGACACTTGCATGGGTCTAGGTGAGCAGTGACCTGGGCTGGACCCGGGTGGGGCTGTGGAGAGGAGTGGGTTTGAATTTAGGACCATAATGTTAGCTGGGTGTGATGGCACACACCTGTAGTCCCGGCTACTTGGGAGGCTGATGTGGGAGGATCACTTGAGCCCAGGAGTTCAAGACCAGCCTGAGCAACATAGTGAGACCCTGTCTCAAAAAAAAAAAAAAGTTAGGGCCATCAAGGGTTTGCTGCTGGATGGGGATCTGAGGGGACCACTTCAAAGTTTGGATCTGAGCACCTGTGAACTTTCGGTTGCTGGTAACTTAGAAGGGGCATTTTGGGGGCAAGATGACAGCTCGTGTGTGAGATGCCTGTGAGACCCCTGCGTGGGGTGTCGAGGAGGGGGCTGGGGCTGCAGTAGGGAGATGGCCAGGCTGGAGATCTGAATTTAAGAGTCACCAAGGTCAAGGTGATGTAGTGATCGAAATTGCTAAGGGGATGCTTTTAGACAGACCACATAGGCCTGAGCCCGGCGCGCTCTCTCCTCACTCAGGGAAGTCAGGGAGGTGAGAGAGAAGCAACAGCCTCGGGGCCAGCGGAGAACCAGGCAAGGCCAGCACCCAGGGGGTTGGAGTCCCTGGTGACCGTGATGGGACAGTGCGTGACGTGATGGAGAAACGCCCTGACTGGAGGAGTTCAAGGGAGATAAAGGAAAGGACGTGAGGATAGCGAGTGTAGACAACTCAGGCTAAGGGGGTTAAAGAAACGGGGTGGCAGAGCTTGCAGAAGCAGGCAGGGAAGGGAGGGCAGCTTGAGGGAGGGAGAAAGCACTGCACTGCTGTTGGAACATGACCCTCACCATGTTACACACGACCTTGCTTAACCCCCATGGTGACCCTGTGTGGGAGGCACTGCTGTGATCCCCACTTTCCAGATGAGGAAACTGAGGCTCAGCGGGGACAAGACATGCTTGAGGTCACCCACACAGTTGATAGCAGAACTGAGATTTGAACTTGGTCGGATCGGGTTGACCTCCCAGCCTGTCCCCATTGCCATGTGGCATCCCCAGCCCCCAGCCATGAATGGGTGGAGGTGGCCGTGGACATCAGGACTTGGGTTTGGGTGAGGGTCTATCTGGCCCCTTGGAGGGGAGTGTGGAGCTGTCGGGGGGCGTAGAGGCACCTGGGACGGGGCGAGGGTGTGCGGGGCAGGCGGGATGGAGAAGCCCAAGGTGTTCCCTTGGGGACCACATTTGGGTGTCAGCTGAGAATTGTTATGGGGCTGGACAGGAGTCAGAAGGGGTGGATGGTGTTGCTGACAAAAGACGCCGGACTGGCTGTCAGGATGTTTGTGTCAGGGCCAGGAGCCGGGCTCCACGAGAATATTGGTAATCATAATGACATTGCCACCGTCTGGTGAGCAGTGACTAAGTGCCAGGGGCTGTGCCAAACTCTTGATGACACATATAACATCAGGCCAACGCTGTGATGAAGGTGCTGTTATGATCCGTGCTGCAGGTGGGGAAACTGAGGAAGGCGAGGTCACTTGCCTGAGGTCACAGAGGAGCCTGCTGCTGTGGCATAGAGGAAGAAGGACCAGGAGGTGGCCCAGGTGGTGTGGCAGGTGGGGGGCAGCCCTAGCAGCCTGGGGAGGGGTGGCTCCTAGGCACCTGCCCTAGTCTAGAGAGCCAGTGTTGGCTACAGCCAGGCGGCCATGTGGTGCCAGGCACCCATTGGGTAGATCCCACAGCCATCCTGGTGTGGGAGGAACAGGGCCTGCCCAGCTCTGGGCTCCCTGAGGCCTCGGCTCACTGGGCCATGCAGGCAGGGTGTCAGGCCACAGCCAGAGCGGGGAAGGCCCGGAGGCAGGTGGGTCCGGTGGCTGGACCATTTGGTCCTGGGCTGGCTTCAGGGCAGGACCCACCGAGCAGGGCAGCTCCCTGGGCCAGGGCCCTTGTAGAGCAGGCAGTTAGCGTCTGGGGCAGGGTCCTTAGCAAAGCCAGTCAACCAGGGTGGGTGGAACAATCTTCCCCCAGGGCTCTCAGCCACCCTGGGCGGGGCAGTGCAGGTTCTGAGGTCAACTCTAGGCGTTTTCTATGGCCACCTGACAAATGACCTGAAACTTGGCGGCTTAAAACCACACACATCTATTATCTCAGTTTCTGTCGGGAGCTTGGCCTGTTTTCCCTGCATCCCCTTCTCAGGCTCTCACAAGGCTGAAATCGAGATATCGGTGGGCTGTGTCTTCATCTGAAGGCTCAACTAGGGAAAGGCACAACTGCTTCCACAGTCCCTTGGGTTGTTGCCAGAAAACATTTCTTCATGGTTGCAGGACTGAGTTCCCGCTGTCTTGCTGGCTGTCGTCCAGGGCTACTCTCGGTCCTAGAGGCCACTCTCTGGTTTTTGCCCCGTGGCTCCTCCACGGGTGCCCTCACGCTCCCAGCTTCCAATGTCTGGCTTCAGCAGGTGCCAGGCCCATTAAGGGCTCCCCTGGTTAGGTCAGGCCCACCTTAATGTGCTCCTTTTGTTTATCTCAGGGTCACCTGAGCAAGAAGTGACGCCCAGTCACACTCACAGGCCCACCCAACTCCCAGGGAAAGGATTACACAGGGCGTGCCTCCCAGGAGGATCATGGGAGTG